AGCAGCCTGCACGTAGGAGTTTATCCCCATTGTACAGGAGGAGGGGCAGAAGCTTGAAAGGGTCTGTGAGCGCCTCGCATCGGAGCATGGAGGCAGGTGGAGGGATTCGGGGCTGCACGAGTGGGTCCAGCTCCAAGGCTGTGCTCCTTCATCCTGCAGAGGGCAGCCATGCCCCTGCTTCAGGGACCTCTCGGCCCCAACCAGAGCCGGGCCTGGAAACGCACTGGGACCACAGCTGGGGCGCAACCCCTCTCTGAGGAGGGCCTGCAACAGAGCCCAGCCTCCTCGGTTCAGAGATGCTCCAGCTGAGCTCCGCACCTTCTAGAAGGCAGGGATGGCTCCCCCGGTCCCCGTACCTGGCATGAGGCTCAGTGCCCACCCCTCCCCCAAGCTGCGCCCCGCCCCCTCTGGCAGATTCCCCCTGCCCTGCCCTGCCCCCCAGCAGCGGGATCCCAAGTCTGCAGGGAACCGGCCAAGAGAAGCTAGGCGTGCAGCAGACAGTGCTCTGGCCAGTGCCCCCAGGCGACAGAAGGTGGCCCACCAGCCCCTCTGGACACCGGCTCTGTCGGATGGCCCAGCTGACAGGAGGGGCCTGCCTGCTCCCCCCATGGCCCCCGGCCCTCAGCCTTCCACACCCGTGTTCCTTTTGTACTTTATCTGAGTGGCCTGGGGGCCCTCTATGGAGAAACCCAGTGATTATTTGAAGGGGAGCTGGGGAGAGGCAAGATTTTGTACATTCTGACAAATTAGAATGTCCTGCACGTTGCAGAGGAAACTGCCTGAACTTTCGGAAAGGGTGAGAGCTGGAAGGTTCCTCAGAGCCCGTGTGCACGTGTACACCTGTCACGTGGGCTGGGAGGCCCGGCACAGACGTGCCAAATGGCGAAGCCATCAGGGCTGTGGGGCTGGATGGCGCCTTGGCCCTCCTACCCGCTGCGGGGCCTTGGGCACGTTACCTGTCCTCTCCGTGTCATACTTGGAAAAGGAGGATGATACTTTCTCGGTGTCAAGAGGATTAAATAATGAATCTATATGCAGAAGGCTTGGAGCAGGGCCTGCTGTATTGTTGGTATTCTGTACATGTTAGGTATTGCTATAAGATGCTCTGGTCCCACTTGTAAATGGAAACATCCTTCTATAGACCTCTGCAGCGTACGAAGCCCTTTCACGTGTGCCCCAGGTTATTTAGTTTTTCAGCCATGCTGCGAGGTGGATTATTTCAGCTCCCCGCCAAGAGGAGGCATTGGAGGGGACAGTTTGAGCGGCTGGCTGGGTGGGGCTGAAACTGAGGAGTCAGCCTGCACCTCTGGAGGCCGATTCCTGCCCCGCCTCCCCGGGGACTGGGCAGTGAGGGCGTGAGGCTGCAGCCCTGAGCAGGTGGCCCTGGGCAGGTGGGCCGTCAGCCAGGCAGGGCCACACTTCTCAGCACTTCCCTGCATTTATCTGACAGTGATTGAGCCACTCGTCTGTGTTGAAAAGTGCTCAGCTCTGGGGTTAAGGGCCAGCCTGGTGGACCTGCTCCTGCTTTCGTGGAACTTGGCCTCAGTCCGGTGTAAAATAAACGTCACAGAGCAGGGGTGACCCCGGCCACGATGGGGAAACACGTGTCCCGTCGCTGGGCCACCTAGAGCATTTGGGGGCATCCGGGGGATGCTTTCTGCAGGAGGTATTAGAGAAGCTGAGATGTGGAAGATGATGGCCAAGGGGTCCGTGGGGTTGAGGGTTTGGGAAGTTTCTCCCCAGAACAGCACGTGGTGCTCAGAGGGGCAGGCAGCTTCCCCCGGCTGGGCTGCAGGGGGCTGGGAGGGCAAGCAGCCTGGCATGAGGGCCAGGGCTGGGTCGGAGCTGTCTGTCAGCCCAGGCAAGAGTTCTGCACCATATTCTGAGGCTTTGGGGGCCTTTAAGGGTTTTAAGTTGGGGGATAAGACAGCAGGTTTCTCTGTTTAGAAGGGTCAGGGTCAGGCTGGGAGGAAGGGGGCTGGTGCTGGGAGGCTGTTCCAAGGCACAATAGACAAGGCAAGAAACGAGGACTGAGTGTCAGGAAAGTCACCATGCGGAGGGGACAGGTTTGAGAAATACTTGGAGGGGGAGTCCACAGGGCACAGTGGGGGAAGGTAGGAGTCCAGACAACACTCAGACTCACGGGTTGAACAGGGGTTAGGGCCCTGAGGTCAGCAGGCTGCGGGGACGGGTGAGGAGGTCGACTTTGGACACGATGTGCTTTTGGCACGAGTGGGACATTCGCAGAGCTGACAAGGAGCGGCACAGGATTGGCGCTTAGAGGAGATGGGCCGGCCGTGCGGTGCGGATTGTCAGCACTGCATTAGGAGAGTGATGGGAGCGTCCGGGGGACTGAGCCAGCAGGAAGCAAGGATGCAGGACACAGAAGCCTGAGGACGCCCTCCCCAGAGAGGTGGCTGGCCTGGGGACAGGTGACAGGGAGGCTGCAGGAGGGAGACGGGAAAGGGGAGGTAACTCGGGAGAGCCGAGGCCGAGGGCCTTGCAGGAAGGAGGGAGAGGTGACAGCACCTCACGAGGGCTAGAAACCGGGTGAGCTGGGACTCCCAGGGTCTCAGAGCAGGGGTGGGGCCCAAGGCGGCTGCCGGGCACCAGGCGAGCGCAGGGGAGGGGGAGCTGGCCCAGGTGAGAGGTGTGGTCCTCAGGAATGAACCAACCAGGTGACAGGGGAGAGACAGGTAGACAGGTGAGAGATGGCAGGTAGACAGCAGGTAGCTGGACGGCAGGGGGACGGCCAGGACGGATGTGCAGGTGGAGGAGGGCAGTGAGGAGGGGCGGACGGCGGCTGGGCTGGCTGAGGGTCGGCTGCAGGAGAGCGGGCTCCCGCTGGGTCGGGGGGCCGGGCGGGGAGCGAGGGGCACAGCGGGCTGTCCGTCGGGCTGGTGACAGGAGCTGTGGGAGGGATCTTCTGGGGGCATCTCTGCGCAGGAGGGAACAAAGCCTTGCCGAGGGTGGAGTGGGGGCGGGTCCCTGGTGCTGAGGTTTGAAGAGGAGACGAGTGGAAATGGCTCCTCTGACAGGGACCCTGCGTCTGCAGGGCACCGAGGGGGTCATCCCCCTGCCCCGTGCGGCTCCCAGTCTGGGCGGCGGGGTTGCCAGGAGGTTCACGGGAGGCCAGTGGGAGAGCTGATGGCGGGGGGAACGTCTGCCCAGGGAAGAGGGGAGGGCCCCAGTGGGACCCCAGTGCTAACTCTGCCCCTGGCTGGCTGTGTGACACAGGCACGCGAGCCACCTCTCTGGGCCTCCAGTGTGGCATCTTCAGCATGGCCTCTCCCGCTGCTGGAGAACGAGCGGGTACCGTGTGCGACGGTGCTCTGGGGCTAGGATGTGTCTGCAGCCGGCACGCAGGAGGGAGTGGGGGCCACAGCCCATGCTTCATCCTGTTACTCACTGCTCCTCGGTGGTGGGGGGAGGGGAGCGGGGCACTGCGGGCCCTGCTCCCCCAGGTGGAGAGCAGGGCCCCCCCGACGCTCTGGGGCCAGGCGGGCCGTGGACTCTGGCCACGACGGTGGGGAAGGGTAGCTGTAGGGGACCTGCCCGGGGGGCTGCCCAGCAACGTCCAGGAGCACCGCCTCCTCCACGGTGGCCCCTCTGCTCCTGCAGGAGGACAATGCAGAGGGGCCTCCGTGGAGCGGCGGGTGTGTGTGTGTGTGTGTGTGTGTGTGTGTGTGTGTGTGTGTG